TCGTTGATAATGTTAGGTCTCTTCAATCCGATGTCTGTCCTCGTTGATAATATTAGGACTCTTCAATCCGATGTATGCCCTCGTTGATGATGTTAGGACTCTTCAATCCGATGTCATTGATAATGCTACTACTCTTCAATCCGATGTCTGCCTTCGTTGATAATGTAAGGACTCTTCAATCCGATGTCTGTCCTCGTTGATAATATTAGGACTCTTCAATCCGATGTCATTGATAATGCTACTACTCTTCAATCCGATGTATGCCCTCGTTGATGATGTTAGGACTCTTCAATCCGATGTCTGTCCTCGTTGATAATATTAGGACTCTTCAATCCGATGTCATTGATAATGCTACTACTCTTCAATCCGATGTATGCCCTCGTTGATGATGTTAGGACTCTTCAATCTGATGTCTGTCCTCGTTGATAATATTAGGACTCTTCAATCCGATGTCTGTCCTCGTTGATAATGTTAGGACTCTTCAATCCGATGTCATTGATAATGCTACTACTCTTCAATCCGATGTCTGCCCTCGTTGATAATGTTAGGACTCTTCAATCCGATGTCATTGATAATGCTACTACTCTTCAATCCGATGTCTGTTCTCGTTGATGATGTTAGGACTCTTAAATCCGATGTATGTCCTCGTTGATGATGTTAGGACTCTTCAATCCGATGTCATTGATAATGCTACTACTCTTCAATCCGATGTCTGCCCTCGTTGATAATGTTAGGACTCTTCAATCCGATTGTCATTGATAATGCTACTACTCTTCAATCCGATGTCTGTTCTCGTTGATGATGTTAGGACTCTTCAATCCGATGTATGTCCTCGTTGATGATGTTAGGACTCTTCAATCCGATGTCTATTGATAATGCTACTACTCTTCAATCCGATGTCTGCCCTCGTTGATAATGTTAGGACTCTTCAATCCGATGTCATTGATAATGCTACTACTCTTCAATCCGATGTCTGTTCTCGTTGATGATGTTACGACTCTTAAATCCGATGTCTGCCCTCGTCGATAAAGTTAGGGCTCTTCAAACCGATGTCTGTCCTCGTTGATAATGTTAGGAACTTAGGACTCTTCAATCCGATGTCGTTGATAATGCTACTACTCTTCAATCCGATGTCTGCCCTCGTTGATAATGTAAGGACTCTTCAATCCGATGTCTGCCCTCGCTGATAATGTTAGGACTCATCAATCCGATGTCTGTCCTCGTTGATAATGTTAGGACTCTTCAATCCGATGTCTGTCTGTCCTCGTTGATAATGTTAGGACTCTTCAATCCTATGTATGTCCTCGTTGATAATGTTAGGACTCTTCAATCATATGTATGTCCTCGTTGATAATGTTAGGACTCTTCAATCCTATGTATGTCCTCGTTGATGATGTAAGGACTCTTCAATCCGATGTCATTGATAATGCTACTACTCTTCAATCCGATGTCTGTCCTCGTTGATAATGTTAGGACTCTTAAATCCCATGTCCGTCCTTGTTGATGGTGCTAGCACTATTTAATCCGATGTCTGTACTCGTTAATGGTGTTAGGACTCTTAAATCCGATGTCTGCCCTCGCTGATAATGTTAGGACTCTTCAATCCGATGTCATTGATAATACTACCACTCTTCAATCCGATGTCTGCCCTCGTTGATAATGTTAGGACTCTTAAATCCGATGTCTGTCCTCATTAATGTTAGGACTCTTCAATCCAATGTTTGCCCTCGTTGGTGATGTTAGGACTCTTCAATCCGATAACTACTCTTCAATCTGATGTCTGTCCTCGTTGATAATGTTAGGACTCTTCAATCCGATGTCATTGATAATACTACCACTTTTTCAATCCGATGTCTGTCCTCGTTGATAATGTTAGGACTCTTCAATCCGATGTCTGCCCTCGTTGATAATGTTAGGACTCTTCAATCCGATGTCTGTCCTCGTTGATAATGTTAGGACACTTCAATCCGATGTCTGTCCTCGTTGATAATGTTAGGACTCTTAAATTCCATTTCCGTCCTTGTTGATAATGTTAGGGCTCTGTCCTTGTTGATAATGTTAGGACTCTTAAATCCGATGTCTGCCCTCGCTGATCATGTTAGGACTCTTCAATCCGATGTCTGTCCTCGTTGATAATGTAAGGACTCTTCAATCCGATGTCTGCCCTCGTTGATAATGTTAGGACTCTTCAATCCGATGTCTGCCCTCGTTGATAATGTTAGGACTTTTTAATCCGATGTCTGTCCTCGTTGATAATGTGAGGACTCTTCAATCCAATGTCTGCCCTCGTTGATGATGTTAGGACTCTTCAATCCGATAACTACTCTTCAATCTGATGTCTGTCCTCGTTGATAATGTTAGGACTCTTAAATCCCATGTCCGTCCTTGTTGATGGTGCTAGCACTCTTTAATCCGATGTCTGTACTCGTTGATGATGTTAGGACTCTTAAATCCGATGTCTGCCCTCGCTGATAATGTTAGGACTCTTCAATCCGATGTCATTGATAATGCTACTACTCTTCAATCCGATGTCTGTCCTCGTTGATAATATTAGGACTCTTCAATCCGATGTCTGCCCTCGTTGATAATGTTAGGACTCTTCAATCCGATGTCTGTCCTCGTTGATAATGTTAGGACTCTTCAATCCGATGTCTGTCCTCGTTGATAATGTTAGGACTCTTAAATCCCATTTCCGTCCTTGTTGATAATGTTAGGGCTCTTTAATCCCATGTCTGTCCTTGTTGATAATGTTAGTACTCTTAAATCCGATGTCTGCCCTCGCTGATCATGTTAGGACTCTTCCATCCGATGTCTGTCCTCGTTGATAATGTAAGGACTCTTCAATCTGATGTCTGCCCTCGTTGATGATGTTAGGTCTCTTCAATCCGATGTCTGTCCTCGTTGATAATGTTAGGACTCTTCAATCTGATGTCTGTCCTCGTTTATAATGTTAGGACTTTTTAATCCGATGTCTGTCCTCGTTGATAATGTAAGGACTCTTCAATCTGATGTCTGCCCTCGTTGATGATGTTAGGTCTCTTCAATCCGATGTCTGTCCTCGTTGATAATGTTAGGTCTCTTCAATCCGATGTCTGTCCTCGTTGATAATGTAAGGACTCTTCAATCCGATGTCTGTCCTCGTTGATAATGTAAGGACTCTTCAATCCGATGTCTGCCCTCGTTGATAATGTAAGGACTCTTCAATCCGATGTCTGTCCTCGTTGATGATGTTAGGTCTCTTCAATCCGATGTCTGTCCTCGTTGATAATGTAAGGTCTCTTCAATCCGATGTCTGTCCTCGTTGATAATGTAAGGACTCTTCAATCTGATGTCTGCCCTCGTTGATGATGTTAGGTCTCTTCAATCCGATGTCTATCCTCGTTGATGATGTTAGGTCTCTTCAATCCGATGTCTGTCCTCGTTGATAATGTTAGGACTCTTAAATCCGATGTCTGCCCTCGCTGATAATGTTTGGACTCTTAAATACCATGTCTGTCCTTGTTGATGGTGCTAGCACACTTTAATCCGATGTCTGTACTCGTTGATGATGTTAGGACTCTTAAACTCGATGTCTGCCCTCGTTGATAATGTTAGGACTCTTTAATCCCATCCGTCCTTGTTGCTTGTTGCTTGGTGCTAGGACTCTTCAATCCGATGTCTGTCCTCGTTGATAGTTCCAGGTCTCTTCAATATGGAGTCACTTACTGCTACAAGCAAATTTTTTGCCGATTTAAATGAAAGATTGATGAGGAAGAAGCATAAACCAATCAAATAATTTGTCAACATGATCCTAAAAATATGTTATTTTCTATTCATCTAGGCTACGGGTTGTTTTGTACAAATAGGCCTACGTACAATGCTCTTTTGCTTGTTACTGTGTATTTTTCTACATATACTACTGCACCATATCCTATTATGGATAATTAATTATACTTGAGCAGGTGCTATGGGGTAAATTATAACCACTGACTGTTAATCAGACCGAACTTCAACATTTTTCTTTTGCTTTGTTACAAGTTTTGTGCATTGACAGTGCTTTACAAGTTATGGATTTCGTATGTTTGTCGATTGAACAGTTACTTTCAATTTGGAGTTTGACTGTTCAATCGACGAACGTGCAATATTTTGCATAGCACCCTGGCGGCAATTACATGAAAATGCACTGTGCGGATACGTACGAAGAACGACATCAGACGACGGACAAGATGACATGGAACGCAAAGGAACTGTGAATCAGGACCACAGCATACGGTCTTGCGCTGTCTTTTTATAATTACATTATTTTCCGGTGTGACATATCTCTTCACTACCACAGTTGCACGTATAAATAAATAAATAAATCAATCAATCAATCAATAAATCAATCAATCTTGTTTGTAATAAAGTTAGTCAGGAAATATGGCACTATGCTAGATATAGAACATCGACTTAAACTAAATAATCAACTAAATTAATGTTGTTATATTGAAAATTGGTGAATAGTGCTCATTTAACTTAATTTAAACATGTAGCGCTTCAAATATAATTATATTTTACTATAATGTAGCAAGTAATAATAGTAATAATTTATTATGGAAACTATTTTATTGTAATATGTAGTTCTACTCATTTACAAGTATTTAATTACACAGGCATCAAATCCGCAAGGGCAATCGGAGACTCGAAATTTCGGATTTTCAGGGTCGGGGTGGGGAGAGGAGCAATCGAAGACTTTAAATTTCGGATTTTCAGGGCAATAACATAATTTGGTCCGAGGTTTCAATAAATATCACGATTAAATTTCTTTAAGACTTTTATTTGCTTAATTAATAGTTTATACATGCAGGACTACTAGTTCATCAAAACATCATGATTTATTTAAAATTGCTATTAAACTTTAAAGCCCTGAATCGACGATCGACCCAATCACAGTGGTCAGCAACGGTTAATGGTGTTTGGTGAATATTTCGGTTACAGTTGACCACGGAGTAATATAAATCCGTGAGTTGACAGATTGTTTGTAAACATACCCACGTGTTTATCGATCTCGTTTTTGACACGAGAATTAACGAGACAGTGCGAGAAGGCCATTTACGATTCAACATGGCCGTACAAAACAGTACATCAAAATTTAATGATAATTACGAATTAAAAGAAGAATTAGGAAAGTAAGTCGCACAGCATTTGTGCTTTGGATTTAATTGTTGTATTTCAGCTACATAATAATATCGGACTTTATAAAGTTTCCAGTAATAAGTTTGTATTTTTGTTTCCGGAGTCTTGACAGCTCAGAAACGGTGTTTCGGTAAAATTCTCTTGGACTGATGAAGATTATCAAAATTTTGGATTTTATTATTCGAGATCAAGTTTTTGGAGTATTGTGTTTGCCACGATAAATTAATATTGTGGTTAGATATATACATGAATTATGAAGGCATCAATGAGTGGTCCATATGGTGCCCGTAATTGTCTCTGAGCAGAATAGTTTAATTTCTGTCCTAAGATTATGACGTTTGTGCCCTAATCTCGGCCCTGTCCTAGAGACAACACCTTTACTTATGTGTCAAAAAAGCTTAACAAATGTTCAAATAAAAGAAAACAGTTGGATATTTTAAAACATCAAAGTAAATTTAATATATCTGCAACATTTCTTCAACATAAAACTATTGGATCATTAAAAAATATAATGAACCAAACTAGCAATAAAGTAGCATTGTGAAAATGCTTTGTGTAACAAATCATGGCCACCTGCAGATACTTCTTGTCAAAGCAGTGTCATATTAAAATTTCTCAATTATTAATGGCACGTTTAGCAAACTTTTCATAAGGCAGAATCTGGCTTAGGTCAGCAACTTTACATATCTAAGGCCCATTTAGCTAAAGGTCTTCAACGTACCCTTATATATAATCATGTCAACAAAGATGTTCTCTAAATATAGTACACAACTCTATTGTCGAATGACGCACGGATTTATATTACAGGGATCGGACACTCCCAGTTAACCCTATATAAATGCTTAAATATCTTGTCGTGCACCCGATAAAGGTACATCGATCGATAATTTACCGGCGCGAAGCGTAAATGCCCGTTCGCAACGGATACCTACTTTACAAAATACCATATAACTTTTTCATTTATTATCCGATTTTGGAAATTTAAAGTTTATTTTGAAGAAAAATACTTGGTTAATTCAAATATCTAATTTGTTTTTTTAAATGTACAGTTTATCTGTCCGCAACGACGGTTAAAAAATTAACTTTACGAAATCCGCGGTAAATTTACATTTTTTTATATAAAAAGCAGGTATTTGAAATTTATTATTACGGTACCATAGTACTTTCAGTTTCAAAACAAAAAAGAAGCCGATGTAAGTTATTCACAGATGATCAAAGATGCAATATTTAAGATTTGTTGGGTTATGTAGTCAAATTTATTAACGCACAATTGTTTTACGGGTAATGTATTGCGGCCTTGACACGTGAAGAAAATTTATTCATTTTTTAGTACAAAATATTGCCGAGATTGTCAATATTGCCATTTTCATAGAATATTTAAATTTCATTCATCATTTATATCATTATTATTTTTTTGTAAATCTGTTTTCAAATGTCGGTGCAGTGAAGTATAAATTAAGACAATCATCGTAACAGTAAAGTTCTCTCGTGTGGCTGTCTCGATTCCTGCCTTTTTAATGTCACTCGTATATTTTAATCCGTATATTTGAATTATTCTTTTTATTTGAATGCCTGTAGAAAGATATTTATTATACTTTTTAATGTAACGCTAGAAAAACAATAAAAATCTTTACAGTTTGAGTCAGTATTTTGCGAAATAAAAGTAACTGTTGATTATTTTTTACACATCGCTTAAATTTCTTTCAAGTTTAATTACTTTTGAAGGGGGGTAAGTGATAATTAAAAAACCTTTATTTCCAAACTTTCATTTCCAGGTTACATGTGATAATTGCAACACTCAATCTTCAAAAACAAATATAATTTGAATGTATATTTTGTATATGCGCGGTCTTTAACTACAGTTCATGTGGTAAGAAAATGATTCTGAAGAGGATATATATAAATACAATGTAAATCTATTTTCTTTATTAACATTTATAAATGAAATTGAAAATATACAACTAAATTTGTATAGTCCTTTCTCTGAAAAATGATGAAAATTAACATGTGATAAATAAATCATTTGACGTGAATTGTTTAGGATATCTATGAAAAAATTATGTTTCAAAATAAAAAATAATATTATAAAACAGCTCTATGCCAATAAAAGTTTCTTCCTTGCCAATCTAATGAATTCATCTATATAGGAATGCTTGTCTAGAATGATCTGAAAATATATTTAATACACTTAATAGTAGAATATTTACTATATTTATATTAATATACAGGTAATCAAATAAAAAATGTACAAATCATTTGAAAATAATTCACAGAAATAAAGACACATTTCAAACATGAATTTCTTTAAAAGTTTTTTAGCAATCAAGAAACGTTTTTTTGCAATGCCATCATTAAACCATGTAAAAAATAATTATCTTATTCTGAATCGCGGTAATAATTCGTGCTTGAAGTAAAAGGGCGGCGAAGTGTAGAGAGTATGCCTAAACAATAGGCGAATATTTTTTAAATTAGATACTTTTTAACAAAGCGTTGCAGCGTTCTATCAGCATATTTTCATATAATAATACTTGAGCGACACAAAATAATACTGTATCAATACATTCATATGTGTATAATTTTTCACAAAGCTGCAATAACACCACATACTCCGGTGAAAATCTGTCATATTTCGTACTCCGCACGTTCCGCCATCTCATTCTGTCCACCTTTATCCGATTCCGCGCATGCGCGCGACGGGACTTTAAGCTAAACGAAAGTGTCCGATCCTTGTAATATAAATCCGTGAATGACGTCAGGATGTTCACTAGCCATGAAATCCTGAGGGTCATTTTGACTAAGTTTTACCGACTACAAGGCCAAGTCCCCATGATTTTAACAAAATCTGACCCTCCAGAAAAATCCTGAGGGTCAGATCAGGCCTTTTGGAAATTTGAAGGGTCTAAGAGTCATTTCAAGGGTCAAACGGACACCCTGGACGTCATATGAGGTCTCACATGACACCTAAATGTCATGGCCGACTGTAGTCGGCGTAATTGATGTTTTAGAGTTAAATAGTCAATTTGATGTTTTAGAGTTAAATAGTCAATTTTAATGAAGGTATTTATATTTTGATACTTTAATTGGTATAGAACGATATTAAAATAATTGTTTTATCGTAAAATACACAATAATTGATTCAGTGTTCGAAATTAGCAGTAGTCAAATAGCCTCTGACTACTAAATTTCTCCCCGGGCTTTTGGACTAGAGAATATTCCAATCTGGTAGTCCAACCAGCCTAGTCGATTCAAATCCTTATTTCTTACACTGTTGATTGGGTCAAGTGTATAAATTTGCAAGCGAAAATTAAGTTAAATCAACTTATGTTATTTAGGTTAGGTTTTGTAACGGGTCTAATCCAAAACTTTTAATGCCGCATCAGATGAAAAACAAAAATGTTAATTAGTGGGTTATAAAGTTTTGGAAGCCAGAACTAAGGCCCATTCTGCTCTAGGAATTCTATAATTTGTATTTCTCACTAACTTTCTATCTTTGTTATCTTGACAAAGTTTACAAAAAAATACTCATTTTCAGGATGTTCACTAGCCATGAAATCCTGAGGGTCATTTTGACTAAGTTTTACCGACTACAAGGCCAAGTCCCCATGATTTTAACAAAATCTGACCCTCCAGAAAAATCCTGAGGGTCAGATCAGGCCTTTTGGAAATTTGAAGGGTCAAAGAGTCATTTCAAGGGTCAAACAGACACCCTGCATTTTCCATCTACATGAACTAGTTTTTGCCCTGTTTGGAATCAGTTACACTGCCGCACTGTTATATTGCACCCTGTTACTCGTGGGTTTGTTCCTACAAAAATTGGTATTTTTCACTAACCATAATACAACATGTACGTCATGTATATACAGTGCACTTCGGATACAACGAGATCGTTGGGACTTTGGATGATTCCTCGTTATAACCGGGTCTCGTTATAACCAGGACAGAACAAATTGAGATATCCCACACCGTCGAGCATCATTTATTTCTACTTTCGCTTTCGCCTACATCCTTTTATGGGAAGTTACTATTTGCAATCAGAAGTTTGTTTTATTTAAATATGCATGTTTATAAATTTATCTAGCTACATGTATCATAGAATTTAAACAAAACATGAAAACACAACCTACGTCTAACCGCATGTTTTTTTTAGCTCACCTGAGCTTGCTCAGATCGATGAATGTCCGTCGTACGTCCACAATTGCTTGTGAACACTCTAGCTGTCGCATTTTTGCCTCAATCATCATCAAACTTGGTCAGGATGCTTATCTAGTTGAAAGCTCGGATGAGTTCGAACATGGCTCATCTCGGATGAAAAACTAGGTCACAAGAGCTAAAAATAGAAAAACCTTGTGAACACTCTAGAGGTCACATTTTTGACCCAATCATCATCAAACTTGGTCAGGATGTTTGTGTAGGTGATAGCTCGGATGAGTTCGAACATGGGTCATCTCGGATGAAATGTAGGTCACAGGAGCTATAAATAGAAAAACCTTGTGAACACTCTAGAGGTCACATTTTTGAACCAATCATCATCAAACTTGGTCAGAATGCTTGTCTAGTCAATTGCTTGGATAAGTTCGAACATGGTTCATCTCTGATGAAAAACTAGGTCACAGGAGCTAAAAATAGAAAAACCTTGTGAACACTCTAGTGGTCACATTTTTGCATCAATCATCGTCAAACTTGGTCAGGATGCTTATCTAGTTGATAGCTTGGATGAGTTCGAACATGGGTCATCTCGGATGAAAAAGTAGGTCACCGGAGCTAAAAATAAAAAACCTTGTTAACACTCTAGCGGTCACATTTTTGCATCAATCATCATCAAACTAGGTCAAGATGCTTGTCTAGGTGATAGCTCGGATGAGTTTGAACATGGGTCATCTTGGATGAAAAAGTAGGTCACCGGAGCTAAAAATAGAAAGACCTTGTTTACACTCTAGCGGTCACATTTTTGCATCATTCATCATCAAACTTTGTCAAGATGTTTGTCTAGGTCTGGACTACAGGTGCAATTTCATCAAAACTTTAGGGAAAGGATCAATACCATGTCTAGATGTGCATCTCATCAACAATTTTCGGTTGATTGATTTTTGTCAGAGTTTTTGCCCTTTCATGATTTTAATTTTGAAATTTGTCCTAACTACACATGTACTCGTGTTATACAAGTAATGCGATTTCAAAGAAACTTTACAGGATTGATCGATAGCTCAAATTCTTGTGCATATTACACATGTTTTTAGGTTGAATGATTTTTTGCAGAGTTACGGCTATCATGAAGGGACACATGTGATACTGATTGTTCTCGTTTGGTTTATACAGAATTTATTTTCCACTGTACATGTACTTAATAATGTTAATTTTTGCTCAACAAAAGAAGTTGAATATTAGGTATATATTAAAATCATTTAAATGCTTTTCACTCAAAATGGCCTAAGATCACATGAAATATTGATTTTCCATTTAATTCTGAGTATAATTATTTTCATTCTTGTACTTTTTACATTTTAAGGTATGACCACCCTAATTGGCACTAAAAGACAGTCACTGAAACATTTACAACAATTAAGTCATTTACATGCCGTAAAGGACACCTGCATGCAAATTTACGAGTTATGGACACTTGTGTGAATAAAGCTTTGAAATAAGAAGAGCTATTTTTAAGAAATAAAAGAAAGCTAAATAATCTATAATATCATAATATGTGGCTTTTGAACCTCAGTTGAGCTCCTTAAAACCTGACATTGCAATGAATTCAGCATATTCATGACTGCTGTCTTGTACAGACAGGAATGTTATTCAGATAGCATTCCATTGTTATTGAATAAGAAAAAGTAAAGAAAGGAAATGCCAAACAATATTTTTCACAATGTAAAGGTGCCCTCATTGGAATGTTATATATCAAAGATATCTTAAGGCCCTATCAAACTAGACTGCGCTTGCATTGTGTTGTTAAATTTAACAAAGTGCTGCGAGATCGCAAGAAAAATCTGATGTTTTTGATGACATGGAGACTTTAAGGCGTCTTGGTGGCATCCCTACAACAATAATGGCATTGCAACAGAGATTTCACAATGTTGTAATGAGTTTTTAATCATTTAAATGGCAATTGTATGTGTTCGGACTGCGCTTCTTCTGCATCCATTGCGCTTTCACAGCTCTCTTGCGGCGCTCACCCTGCACTGAAATAGTTAAACTCCGTAAAAGCACCATAGAGACGCTGCACAATATCCTTACAATGCGATAATTAGGCAATCCTTCTGCACTTTCATGGCGTCTTGTTGCCTTGCAGGAGTTGGTACGGCATCCTTACTGCAATCCCACTGCACTCTTATCGGAGCGCAAAGTTATAGGGTTTGTTTCGAACATGCTCAAAATGTGCGCCATTGGTCAGCATTCTATGCTTGGGGATCTCACTTCTGTTTCCTGAATTTTCTTTAGATCTTACTGCGCTCATCTCAGCATTCTGAATTTTCTTTAGATCTTACTGCGCTCACTTCTGTGTCCTGAACTTTCTTTAGATCTTACTGCGCTGACCTCGGTATCCTGATTTTTTTAGGATGCTGTAAGAACGCCGCTTTAGTGTGACAGGGGTTATAGAAGTATTTATTTCTGTAAATGATACTCTACAACCTTTAACAAAAAAAAGGGACAGTTTGTGAGTAGGCTGAAATTAACACCAGTCCTATCTATTCAGTAATTTTATTAAACCCTCAAGTCTTAAATGCACTTGTCCATCATTCATTTTTTTTAGGAAACTTCTCAAAATAGACATTGGCACTGCTGAATATGAAACAGTGCAGACCCTGATCATATTACAGCAAACTAAGGGTAATTTAATCTGCATAATATTTCAAGAAAATCTAACTTGTGAAAAATGTACATTTGTACCAAGATTTTAATAAATAAAAAAAGATTGAAAATTCAATTAATAGTTTATATTTACATGTATGTCATGTGTGATTAATCATTAATGATATTTTGACCTTTTTGATAATTTATGTGGATTGTAAGTGCTGTTTGCAATGTGTAAATTACTTTGTTTTTCACTTCACAATATTTTACTTTTGAAAACATTTTAATGGAACTCAGCATGAAAACTTCAGCAATTGTTCTGTATTTTTTACTGTTTCCTTGGAACATGTGATGATCAAGGTCAACAGGTCATGGAAACTAGGGTAAAGTTTATTTTTAGAAGAATCGCTTGATTGAAACAATTTTGATATTCATATTTATGTCGTTGTCATGATTGTTGAACATTAGATAAGTAAGAAGTCTTTTTCAGACCAATCACTATATATGTTTAGATGAATTGACATTTCTTTAGGAACTTTCATATTGCATGTTGACATTTAATATGCTGATTTTTTTTTTTTTATTTCATACATGAAGTTTTTCTGTAATGAGATTATATTTATTTTCAGAGGTGCTTTTTCTATAGTGAGAAGATGTGTTCAAAAATCTACAGGTCTAGAATTTGCAGCAAAAATAATAAATACAAAAAAATTATCTGCTCGAGGTAAGTGTCTTTGTTTTGCAAAGTCAGATCAATGGAGATATTCACATTTCTAAGATAAATTTTCCTTTAATAAAAAAATTGATTGAATGAAAGTGCAAACAAATGACCAGTAAAAAAAGCAGATGAAAGAGAACCTGGTGAGAAAGGAGTTTATGAAACAGGACTCGTTTCAAATAATGAAGATAGTCAATATTCTTAGTGTCTCTTTTTATTCCTCTGTATTTAACAAGTGAATTTGTCTATGTATTAAATTTCTCTCATTGTCACATATGATGTTCCCTGACAAATTAGATTTGAGTGTACAAGTTGAGAAACATGACACAAGTGTAAATGAGATGTCTCCAACAAATCAGGTCATAAATCTACAATTTACTTGGACTATTGCACATGTTGTCAGGAATAGTTGATTTGAAATATACATGTGTAGCATGTGTGGTCTAGCAAAATATTGAAAAATGTCAATCTGAAAAATGTTAATTTCCTCTTTGATATATATATTTTTTATCTCATTGTGAAATATATATATTTTTTTTTATTTCTTTGTGAAACACCTATCATCTATATGTTTTCTTTATACTGACTAACTTTTGTGAAAAGGTCATACCAAAGACCTTTATATAAATGATAGGGCAACTGCTTCAGCCTACACTCTGGTGTCATCATTTAAGAATGTTTACATTATGACATCTCAGTGAAGCCAACCTAAACTAGAGTTTTTATAAAATCCCAGACACAGTTATTCTTCCTACTGCATGTATTTATGTGTTATTTCTTAATGATTCAATTAGAATTTAGCAGGTATGCCTGCACAATCAATAAACTCTGGTAATCCTGATTGGCTTAAAATTGTGAAAGTAAAAGAAATTTCAATACACTTCGTTCAATTAAGCTCTTAAATATCTGTTTTTAAAGCTGGCATTGACTTAATGTCCTTTTAAATGTTTATCTTTGGTCTTATTAAAAGTTTAATAGTTGTTTAGTTTAGAATGGGAACATTGTTTAGTTTGGGATGTGAACATGTATCTTTGCCATTAAAGCTGATAGTCTGTTTGCTTGTTTTTCACTGAGGAATGTCATTAAGATAAAGATTGTTTGCTGTCGCCCTATCTCATCACTGTTTACTAATGTAATTGGCATGACAGCATTTAAAACATTTTAAAGTACAAACATTTTTTTCCAATGCATTATGAAAATGACAACATAATTTGTAATGTTAAGGAGAATATGCTTTGTAAGTTTTACAAATTTCCATATCTACAAACACTGTTAACTGTACAGATGTATGTGATTCTACTAAATACACAAATTGAGTTATTGTTACGCCAGTTTCTCTTTATTACAATATCTTTATTGCAACCATTTCCCTTAAAGTGAATAATGCACTCTTTCCAGAAAAAAACCCCCCAAAAAAACATGTTACATCTAGGGTTTTTTAAAAAAAAAGAAAAAGTTTTTCACTTAACCAAAATCTGCACCTTGTAAATTGGTCATTATACATTCTTTTCTCCTTTTCAAGGAAGCATTTAAACTATTCATTAGTTTTAAATCTCATATCATGTTTTTTGCAACAAGGAAATGTAATGACATTTATAAGCTCCTTTTTTTTCTGAGAAAAAAAAAGACCTATTGCTACAGTCATGTTGTAGGTGAAGTTGCTGTTGATGTCCAAAAACTTTTAAGTTGGTCATAATTTTCATTATGTATCTGGTTGACGGTCCATCTGTCTGTTAACAATTTCCATGTATCTTTTAAACCGCTGGAAGGAAATTTGAACTACTTGGAAGAATTATGTGCAGAGTGCAGGTTTGACTCTTCCTCATGTCAAGGATGAAGTCTTACTTGAAGTCATTTTGTATGAATTTTAAAATTAAGTGTCTGCTCTGTATCTTTTGAACTGAAATTAGATCTTTTTGGCAGAAATATTACTTGTAATAAGACGATGTGCAGAATACAGGTTTAGGCTTCCTGAATGATTACTTCATTTATATAGACTTTAGGAAAACACATTTAAGTTTCATTGTGTGAAACTGCAATCTCTAGAGCTTAGATATATAGCATGTAGCATTGCCTTATTGACCTTCACAAAACTGATAATGAATTATGTCACTTGATCTATATAGACTTATGTAGGAAAAAACACATCTCATGATCTGAGACTTACTGTATGAAACTATGATCCACAGAGCTTAGATATTTGGCATGTAACTTAACTTTGTGGAACACAAAATAACTGGTATAAATCATGCCCCTTAGGTCAATATTGGCCCTGCCCAGGGGGAAAACTGCATTTTCCAGGCACTCTCTGTTTGATTTGGTCAGTGAAGAGTAATTCTGAACAAATACACTGTCAATAAGATCATGAATTATTCCCTCTACATTAACTATTTCTGTACTGCTGAAAAATTAAAGCAATGACCGCTTTTTAACATCTGATTATTTCTCAAGAAAACTTCCATATTCATCAGAAACTTCTAAACTCATTGTAAGCAAAATAAACGAGTACTCCAATCTGAATCAGGTTACCATCCAGTTATAACAAAAAGATGGTCAAATTTTTATTTTAAATGCCCCATGTACACACACTTATACTAAAATTCAATAAACATTTTTCTGAACACATGTCCAACATGCTACTTTCAAAAATGAATGGAACATTTTCATTGACTATTTCACATGATAAATGATGGCAAATATGTACAAAAAAAATATTGTGATGAAATTGAGTTTTAATTGCAAAGAGACATGAATAGTCAGTCAACAATTGACTTCATAAATCTTTACCATCTTGCAGTACTATTTTAAGAAAGGGAAGTAGTAAAACGGATGTGAACTTGTGGTGAGTTTGGAAGGTTTTTTGGACTCAAAAGTTGTCAACCTTGTAATTTATAGGTAATTTACTTGTTTGACATTTTATTATGTCATGATTGATTATACATATCTTAATATTTTTGACAAATTTAGAGATATTTATATTGTGCTATGTTCATATGATATTTATGTCCCTTTGAAAGAATTGTTACGGCAAAATGTTTTGTGGGGAATTACTCAATGGTATGTTATTGTAAATCTGTGCTACTGTATGTGGTGATAATTTACCTACATGCAATTTCCACGGAGTATTAGCCAAAGGTATGATTTTTTAGCCAAAAGTAGGTCACTGTATGGTGGTCAATGAGAACCTAAATGTGCAGTAACCTGAGGGCTGTTGGTGCCAAGCAAAGGGTCACCTTACATGCCGTCATTCATACTAGAGACTCTAATACACCATCCTTATCAACTGCACACTTTGTAGAGCCATTCCCTTCGGCTTTAGTCAGGACACTGTCAGTTAACTTCATGCAAGCCTAGTCGTACTGCATTATACGTAACCCCAAGCTGTAGAGAACATGCCAACTTGCCGTCTTACACATAGCATTTGTTCTTCAATCATCTGCTGATGCTCCGCGCCTTTTCAATGACATGCACATACAGAGGGGAAGTGAGAAGTCAAATTGGGCTACTTAGACTTGTATACTTTTTACAGGTCATACATGTACACGTATATAGTTAATGGATACTTAATTGTACTTTTGTCCTTGATGATTAGAGGGAGATTATTTCATAACATTTCTAAAATTATTGACAACACATCCTGAGCTATATATTTGTGAGAGTGGATGGGGTAAGTTATATCTGTGAATGATATAAAAGTAAGTCTTATCCCTGGGACAAACGATGCTCAAGACAGCCCATCATTTTCATGGTTTTAGTTATGTTACCAAAGGTTCTCACAATAAAATGCAGCTATCTGTCTGGATCAGTTACATGTTAGAGATGTTATCACTGCTTGGACATTAATCAATCAATGTGCTAGAATTATGAATAATTACAGATACAGCACAACCTCAGACATATCAAACAAGATTCCAGAAATGTCTAAGATGATTCACAGATTTCTAAAGGTCAGCTAAAGACCCAATGTCTCAAGTTGTTGACATGATTTTAATATATATACTGGGGGAAAACTAGAACAATTTCAATGGATATTTATTAAATAGCCTTGTTGATTCTGAATTCGTTAGATGGAAAAGAAAACAAAACAATATAGTATAAGGGAAGCTTTTCAAACATTAAAATGACAGACAAGATTGATAATGCACTCAAGGATGATTTTGGTGATGATTTAAACAGTAAAGGCTCCCATGTGGTTTTTACTTCCTGCCTATGTTAGGAACCAGTGGCAACTCTAAATGAATAAAATTGATATAATTTGCATTGCAAATATTTCACATATTGATTAAAATGCCTCGTCTATCACCGTTGGCTAGAAAATTATACAACATTATTATTGGCCATTGATTTATATCTATTTTCCCATGAACCACATAGAATATAGTACTAAAGTAATTGATTGGTGAGACATTGCACATCTGTACAGTTGTAAAACAGGGATAAGTCATTATTTTTTCTGGTGCTACGTTTACTTCCTTATGATTAATTATATTTCCATTTCGAATACATTTTCTCTTTTCCTTTGTGAAAGGTTGCTAATTAGTCTTAGAGAATTGTATGATTTTTATACTACAGTATTGGGTCAGATATTGATGAAATAAGGTGTGTTTATACATACAGCAAGCTTTTTATATGCCCGAAAGGGCATATTATGTTATACCCCCTGGCGTCCGTCCGTCCGTCCGTCCGTCCGTACGTCCGTCCGTCCGTTAGCAATTTGGTTTCCGGAGCATAACTTAAGTTCCATTTGGCCCACAATGTTAAAACTTCATAGGATGATTGTCCATATTGGGTAGAAGACCCCTATTGATTTTGGGGTCAAAAGGTCAAAGGTCAAGGTCACTATTACCTTAAAACTGAAAACGGTGTCCGGAGCATAACTTAAGTTCCATTTGACCCACAATGTTCAAACTTCATAGGATGATTGTCCATATTGGGAAGAAGACCCCTATTGATTTTGGGGTCAAAAGGTCAAAGGTCAACGTCACTATTACCTTAAAACTGAAAAC